GGGGGCTCTTGGGTGTTGGGGGGGAGCTGTTGCCCCTCATTAGCTAATGGACTCCCGTTAATTAACATTCCTTCCTCCCCCAGCCGCAGCCCCCAAGGCCGCTGCGGCCGAGTCGTCCCTCAGTGTGGAGGAAACCAAGTGAGCGAAACACCCCCCCCTACCCACTGGGTGACACTCTTTTGGGTGCCCCCCACCCACCAACCCCCAACTCACTCTATTTACCATCCCTCCCCCCCCAGCAAACTCCGCGCCAAGCTGGGGCTGAAGCCGCTGGAGACAACAACCGTCAAGAAAGGTGAGTGGTGCCCACTCCGTGATCCCCCACACCTATTTTTGGGGTCACCCAGCACCCATTTCTGGGTGTGTGTGTGTCCCCCTTCAACAGAAGCCGGGACCAAGGAGGACCCAGTGGCGGCCGACGTCATCAACCCGCTGGTGCAGCGGCAGCGGGAGGAGATCCGGGAGAAGTTGGCAGCCGCCAAGGAGAAACGTCTCCTCAACCAGAAATTAGGGTGAGGCACCCATGGGTGGGGGGGGCAGCACCCTTTAAGAGAGCAGGATGACCCCAAAACGTTTCTTTCTTCACTCGAAACTATTTCTAGGAAGATCAAAACATTGGGGGAGGACGACCCGTGGCTGGACGATGCGGCCGCCTGGATTGAGAGGAGTCGGAAGCTGCAGCAGGAGAAAGAGCTGGCGGAGAAGAGGGTGGGTGGGGGCACCCACGTGTCCGGGGCAGCCCCCTGACCCTGGCAGTTTGGGGGGTGACGACTCTCAAATATGATAATTTTAGTTTAAAAGGATTGGTTATGATAACGTCACCCAAATTTTTGTGTGTTTTAGAACCACCTGAAAATTGACGTGGCTTTTTACAGGTGTTGTCCCAAAGTCACTTAAAAACAGACAGTTTGGAGACATCAACTTCTTTTCAGGAAGGTGTTTTGTCAGTTTTTGGGCAAAAATCAGGAGGTTTTTATCTGATTTGCACTTTCCCAGCGTGTCCTTGTCCCTTCATCGTGGGATTGTTGGTCGTTTGGCCGCTGGTTGAGCTCCTCGGCCACCAAACCCCCCTCCACCCCTCAGATCCTATCCAGAGAGCAGATCTCCAGTCCCTGATCAAGCCTGGTGGATTGACCTCATTAATTTTCCCAGTTTTAATCACCCAATGCCGCAGCCTGTGTACATTCATTTAGAAGGTTTCTCAACAGCCTCACCAGCGTTTTCTTGTTGAGCATTGTCAAACAAAGTTGCTGTCAGCTCTTGATTCTAGTTTATTAGTAGAAATATTGATTAGAATTAGCCATTGAGGGACGCCAGAAGTGATTGGCCACCAGTCAGGTGTCCCCTCGTTCTCCACAACCCAGCACACCACATTTCTGGTCATTCCGTGCTTCGACAATTCACCCAGAAGAAAGCGGTGAGGGCCGTCACCGCTAAACTTTCTCCAAATTCCATCCGCCACCTTTTCTTCACTCACTGGGTGGCTGATTTGCTTGTAGAAGGCCATCAAACTAATTAGGGTGTCTAGGAACCTGCTTTCACCGTCGTTGATGGTCACGTTGGCATTTAGATGTTTTTCAGCAAGACCTAGTTGATGTTTTTCATTGTTTGTCCAGATGCTGAAGTTGGATTGAAGATCTTGGGGTGCTTTGCGTTGGTCCCTAAGTCTTTAGAAACCAAAATAAGGTCAACAGGGATCTCCTGAGCCCCCCAAAACTTTTGGTAGATGGTTGAGAAGGTGCTTCTTGGCCACGCGTTGGACTTCTGTTGGCCATGTGTTGGCTTCTCTTGTGGTCCAGGATGATCCCAGCACTCTCAGTGGTCTTGGGAACATCCAACTGGTCTCTTCCCGTTCCAGGCCAAGCTGCTGGAGGAGATGGACCAGGAGTTTGGTGTCAGCACCCTGGTAGAGGAGGAATTCATGAGAAGGAAGAGGGTGAGTTGGGGACCGGCTTGGGGACCCTTGGGGACAGCCTGGTCTTCATCCTGACCCCCCACGTGTCCCCCCAGGACCTCTACAGCTCACGGGACCTGCAGGGGCTGACGGTGGAGCATGACATGGGGGCCTTCCGGGAGGGGGAGACCCTCGTCCTCACCCTCAAGGACAAAGGTGAGCAGGGGGGTCACATCCTGGGGGGACAGGGAGGGGGGACAGGGCCCATGATGTCCCCTGGAGGGACAGGGAGGGGACATTGGGTCTGTGACCCCCCCCAAGGGGACACAGGGCCTGTGATGCCCCCAGGGGACATGAAGAAGGGAACATCAGCCCCCCCCCCAAGGGAGTGCAGGGAGGTGACATGGGGCTTGTGACCACCCCGAAGGGGACACGGGGCCTGTGACCCCCACCCAAAGTGACAGAAGGCGGGGATGTGACACCCGGAGGGGACACGGTGCTACATCCACCCTTGGTGGGGACGTGGTGGCACCTGTGTCCTGCTGGTGCCCCTTGACCCGTCCCCACGTCCGCTCCACCTCGTCGTAGTGTCCCCAAGTCCTGTTCTACTGGGGTCCCGGAGCCCTGTCCCCCCCTTGCTGTCCCCACGCGCTGTCCCCAAGGGCTGTCCCCCCAGTGTCCCCAAGTCCTTTCTTCCCCCTCCCTGTGTCCCCAGGGACTGTCCCCAAGTCCTGTCCCCTCTTGGTGTCCCCAACCCCTTTCTCCCTGTGTCCCCAAGGGCTGTCGTCCCCCCCCCCCATGTCCCCAAGCCATTTCTTCCCACCTCGGTGTCCCCAAGCCCTGTCACCTCCCCGATGTCCCCAGGGGTGCTGGAGGAGAGCGAGGACGTCCTGGTGAACGTCACCTTGGTGGCCGAGGAACAGGCGCAGGAGAACGCCGAGCTGCGCAAGAAGAAGCCCCCCTACGTCCCCTACGAGGACGAGGACCCTGCTGCCGCCACCCAGGTGCGTCCCCCTCCTCGTGTCCCCGCATCCCCCCAGCGTGTCCCCCCTGCCGCAGGCACATTATCCCGCGTTATCCCATGTTTTCCCGTGACGCAGGGCCCCAAGGAACACGTGGTGCTCCCCAAATACGCTGAGCCCCCCCAGCGTCCCTCCTTCCGCCTGGGCCCGGGGGGGACGCAGGGGACAACGGGGGTAGCCGGCGGTGGCCTTGGGGACCCCCGGCAGCAGTCCCCCGCCACCGGCCCTGCCCCCCAAAGCCTGGAGCTGCCCCCCCTCCGCCTGGCCCCCGAGTACCTGACACCCCAGGAGATGGTGAGTCCTCTTTTGGGGGGGGGTCTTGGGTTTGGGGGTGATTTGAGTCTTTTTGGGGG